TGAATTTATTTCATCCTAAACCACACCTTACAACCGTAAAAATTTCTAATAATTTTCCTATGTAATCAATTTTTACTGCTAGTGGTCTATAATTATACACAGCTTACAGCTCAACCTTGTACCTACTTGAGCTCCTAGTCTCCTACTACACATGTAAGCAAAAACTCATGAGCAACCTCTTGTGATCCAATTCACTGGCAAGGTATAAAATGCCTATAAAAAATAAATATATAAAATAGCAGACATTTACAATAAATTTATCGTGTACTTATCAATATCAAGCTCCACTATCCCAGTACAGGTCATAATGGGGCATAGTTGGGGTTTCAAATTAATTAATTAATTAAATCACTACCTCTGGGGCTGTTCCCTTCAGTCAAATCCCCTACTAAATTTAAGGAACGTTAAACAACCACTCAACTGCTACTGAACTCAGCTCTGCTGGGTAAACTTAGCATTTTTGAAACGTAACTTGGTCAAACTAGCGAAGTCTTCCTATAGGCTTGTTGGAGAAAAATCCCTACCCTGGGGCATTCTCAGAGTGATGAACCTCCTCAGTATTAAATCCCTCATATTCCCCATAATAAGGCTTAAATTGACAGACATATTACTTACAGTTCTGAAATGAGTAATTGTGGTGGAAGGAACAAATGATAACCCAGGAAAGACTAAGGAACAAATGATAACCCAGGAAAGACTAAAAAGCCCATTTCCTCACACAAGAATAATTAGAAGATACATTCTATATACATATAGGTGATTACAATAGTCACAGTATATAAAAAGGCATAATTTATAACAGTCTGAGAATAAATTACCTAGTGCAAGATTCTATTAGTCTAATCAGTGATCCAACTCATGCAAACAACTAGCAAAAAGGCCTGGAACCACAAAGACAGCACTAGAAATATGAAAAACACTCAGTTGGTGGCAGCCATTTTGTGATTTTTGTCCATATGAGGGAGTAATGCGCATGCGTATTACTGATTCCTGTCTCTAGACGCTTTGGCAAAAGTCGTGGCAGCCATTTTGTTTGGGGGTGAATCCTACTTAGTAACGCTACCGCGTTACTAATTTCTTCCAAATGCAATGTTAGAAAACATAATTACTCTTCCTAGAGCATATGGCATCATCACATTATAAGAGGAACCATTCGTCAATAAAATACTACAAGATGCAACAGGCAGGCTGTACAAATAGAGGTGTCCTAAAATAATTGTATATTAGTACTAACAAATAAAAAATGATATTCCACGCATAAATAAAATCATTTTTAATTAGCTGAGGAAGTAAAATTACCATCAGACTGACCTCAATTATAATTAAAAGAGTGCTGCGGTGACAATTTGAATGTATACTGACATTAAAACTTGGAACTACAATTAAAACAAAATATAAGATGTTATTTCAACTTATTTGACTATAAAACTTACTTGAAACACACATGCTAACAACCAATGGACTACCAACAATCTGTCCAAAATAATCATAGCTATTAACTGAAAATGCATAACTATCATGACCAGAAATAGCATATATAAACTCTGTGTTTTTAGTTGTATAAAGAACAAGTCCACCTTGACCTGCATCTGATAATACTGAAATATTGATTCTATACATAGGAACACAAGTAGCTCCTCCCCATCTGACACTAATTAACGAACCATTCACAATACTTGCAGGAATGACAGTTGCAGGAGAAGAGCCTGTAATTATAGTGTCACTCATGAAGTCTACTGATTTAGATAAAAATTGTAGCAGGTAGCTCTCAAATCATAATCAAATTCTTAAAATGAAGGTCAATCATTGGCAAGCATTTACTTGCAATCTCTTCATAAATTTGTTTAGAATATTTTTTGTACGCTTAGTATACACATGTACTTATAAAATGTACATGTATCTGTGTAGAAAGTTTGAACTGATTTCGATACAAATTAAATTTTTTATAAATTTTTAAAGTTGCTCTAAAATCAGGCCAAAGTCCCTGTCTTTGGCCAAATTTTGTCAAAAACAAAAAGGAGTGGATTTTTATAATTAGAAAGTTTGAGCTTGTTCCAATTAAAATTGCATTTTTATGAATTTTAAATTTGCTTCAAAGTGTACTATACACTGTGAAAAAAGAAGTGTTGCTGTAGCACTAAATTGAGGTGTCAAAGTATTGTGCAGTTTTAACACTATATATGTGTCACTGTAACACCAATTGTGCTGCTATGATACAATAATCATGTCAAAACTATATTATTGACAAATGGAGATAAATGAATAATAATGATAGATGAGCACTAAACAATACTATATGGTAGTCAATCACATAAGTCCCTCGATGACAGGGTGTATAACAAGTGGTGCTGTGGCAGAAAGTGTCATTCCATACAAAAATTCAAGTAAATAGCACAGTGGACGAGAAGTGACATCATATTTAATGTTGAAAACATAGTATGCTTGAAGGCAATACTCTAAAGAGGCCAGAAGGCTTGGCAATGTGATAATATTTTTTTTCTCAATGACCACTCTAAACTCCACCATAATTATTAGAAAGATCACTACCAAAGCCAAGTATATGGGGATGGCTATGTTGTATCTTGCATAATGCTTCATCCATATCAATGTTCTCACCCTGCATTTTTAATAACAGATTTAACAAAGAATAAACTATATATATGTACCTGGATAGTCATAAATAAGAGTGGCCTAGATTTTCCTCTAGCTGTAGCAAGTAGCGTAGCAACTGATATTGCATAAGTCATCATTTGATCTGTATTGTAAACAAAGTAACATGCAACCAAAATAAATATAACTTACCATCAGTTGGTTGTTGCAACATTAGGTAACTTTTCATTAATTTCTTTACTTCTCTTTTAGTTTCTTTAGAAGCATATTGCAGAAGACGTTGACAATTAATGAAAAGTTTAGATGAAGTAGAGCCAGTAAGGTTATTGAATTCATTTTTTAACTAATGATAACAATAATAATTGTTTAACACTGTAGAATCTCACTATTTGTGGATCCTTAAGGCAAGGAAACTCATCAAAAATGACTTCAACAGGAGGACAATCAGTAATAATCCACTGGTAACGTTGTTCTGCATATACAGTGTCGTTATCAACAATAACATACATGTATATTTATGCCTTACCTCTAGTCTCATTCAGTAAAGAATTCATTGAAGCTATTGTCCATTTTCCACTAGAAT